CCTCACCCCGATCCCGCCCCTCACGCCAGGCCCCGCCCCTGCAGGCCCCGCCCAGCGTACTTCAGCCCGGTGGCCGCCAGGGGGCGCTTTCCCGCTGCGGCTCCGTGCCGTGAGGGAGCGGGAGGCGGGGCGCGCTCCGCTCCGCTCCGCTCYGCTCCGTGCCTCTCCCGCCCCGCCGCCCATTGTCCCCGCGCCGCCCTTCGCTCCGGTGTCGGTGCTGAGTCACGGCCGGCTCGGCGCTGCCCGGGGCTGCAGGTGTCGCGAAGAGCCAGCCGGCCACCGCCGCAGCAGCGCCATGGGGACGGAGGGCGCCCGCGTCCTGCTGGAGCGCGCCGGCAGGCTCACGCTGCAGACCGGCAACCTGCTCAACTGGGGCTGCCTGCGCAAGAAGTGCCCGGCCACCCCCGGCGAGGAGGTGAGAGGCGGGCCGGGGCTTCGCTTCGGGGCGCCTCGGCGGAGGCTGGCCCTGGGGCGAGGGGGCCCGGGTCGGGCCGCGGGCGGAGCGGCGGCTGAGGGAGCGCCGTGTGCCGCTGCCCGGGCGGTCCTAGCGGGGTCCGGAGCGGCACTCGTTGTTCCGGCAGGGCACGGCGCTGCCCAGTGCCCGTCCTGGCGGGGGAGGGCTTTGGCTCCCGAACCATCCGCTGGCCGGTGCCCTTGGGAGGCGCGAGACGGGAATGGCAAAACAGGGTTTTGCTTGTTTGTTTTCGTCTGTTGGTTGTGCTCGGCCCTGTTGGGAGGCCCARCCCTCCGTGCCCCCGGAAGCGCTTTGCCCCAGGCAGGAGCCAGGCCGTACTTCTGATCTTGGAAATGAAGGATTAAAAACTTACGAATTTAGGTGCTATATCCGTAATGGCAAAGGAGATCCTTTATACTATTTTAGTATAGTATRTATAATATGAATAAATATAAGCTTATATTACAGATGATGAAAATTCTCTTTTCTAACCTAAAGTTAATTTAATTTATAAATAGTAATAGGTCTTGGGAAAAGTAGTCGTTGTCTTCTTTGACGTGTAGAGCTGTCATTATTTGTTAAGTTCMAAAGAGCTTTTTAATCACCACTTTAAAAATATACCTTCAGTGCTATGTATCACCTCTTAGAACAATTCTCATAAAATGTCTGGAGATCCTGTGGCCATGAACTTCAGAACGACCGTATTTGCTGTTTCAGCATGACACAATAATTTCAGAATGGTCACCTAATGATTAGAAAAGCTATGGGTTTGGCTGATTATTGCTATATAGTGRCACTGGTGATAACCTGGAAGTTGGYTGGTTGCATATTAATCATGCACAAATGGAACAAAGGTGTCCAGGAGGATGATGTAACAAGAAGGAAGAATTCATCATACTCTTGTTTACGTGTCATGTGGTCTTAACGTTTTTATTTGGACTGGTTGCTTATTAAACATTCTGTGGTCTGTGGTGTGAAATAGGGCTGGATTCTGTAACAAAGACATGGCTATATCATGATGGGCACCCTYGTGTGAGTAGTTTCTGGAGCGTTCCTAAATAAAGAGTGGCCAATATGCATAACAAATAGTTAAAGTATTGAAATTCATTTGTTTGCAGAGAAATCTGCTGACTTTCCAGAGCTGCTCAACTTCCAAAAGGAAAAAAAWTGGTATTAATTTTCAGAAATAAATTCGCTTTTAACTCTTATTATTTGATGTAGTCAGTGGCAGAATGTAAGCTAAAATTTTGCAATCTGTAAACCCCAATGTTAGGGGATACAGCTGTGTTTGRAAAAGCTGATCAAAGCAGTGGAATACACTGTAGTTTCCACATGGCCTGAGGGCATGGGAGTGGTGTGCTTCGGAGTCAGAGGCCTGTATATAGTAACTGCAGTAGAAATATGACCTGTGAGGGTTGCAAAGCAGCAACATCTAAAAATTTAGTACTGTCTCACTTGCCCTCAGAAAGAAAAAGATAATAATATAAATTGTATCAAAATAGGAACAAGAGTTATTTTATTAAAGGGGTTTTGTGCTTAGCTATTTACTGGGGGAGTCAATTCTTGCCTTTTGGGTCAGAGGGGTTTTTAWGCTATTTCAAATAATGCAAAGAATGTATCATATTTGTGTTCACACAGTATTATTCCTGTATTGTGTCTGTGATATCGAGCAGGGATGTTGACTTTGTGCATGGTAGTAGAGCTCTCTGAGTTAGGTGTCATAGGAAATGGCTGTTTAATGGTACACAAAGTAGGTATGCACACAGTTATAAAATACTCTGTTGAAAGTGAAGTAAAACAGCAGCTTGTGGAAGTGCTCTTACCTGTGGCACATGGCTATCAGACARCACCTGTACTTAACTCCTAAGATGGATCATAGGGAAGCTACAGCATGGTACAGCTCCAGCACTAGTACWGTATAAAATTAATTAGCTGATTTAATAGTTATGTCTTACTATGTTCAAGAAAATCCATGAATCTTAGTTGAGAACATTTTGCATCTGTGGATGAAGGAAAAATGCAAGTATGGGGTGAAATCTGTAGGTTTTCCCGACAGTAAGGAAGGACTTAAAAGCATTAGTGATTTGGTATAGTGGAGTACCTAGGCAGTAAATGGGAGGGGTTGGATGCATCTTGAAAAGAGAAGTTATTAATACGATGAGTGTTWAGTGATTGATTGTAAAGTCTTGTTTCTACAATGTCGCAGCACTTGTGCTGTTATCTGACTACTTTGTAACTTAAGAATCTGCACAAAAAAAAMCACCCAAACCTAAAATCCCCCAAACCACCTCATGTTCCTAGTTCTTGCTTGCTTAGCACTTTTCTTTTCTTTAAAGATGGTGTTAGTGTGAGAAACAAGTGAAGTACAGTACTTTTGCTAAAACTCTGTGAAAGAGAGAAAAGTATGTAGTACACTAGTCTGAGCAGGTTTCAGAGAGAAGCGATAAAGGAACAATCTTCTGTGGAATGGTGTCATTAGTTCACCTTTGCAATCCGTCCTACACATTCAGACTACATGAATACAGCCTACACTTCTGTACAGTTGTATCCGTGTGTACCCATGCTTCAATGTGAACAAATGTTTTGTAGGTGCGRGACTGCATCCAGAAAACACTGATTGAATGGAGCTCAAAGATTGGCCAAGACCAAAATCAGGTGGGAGAGATGTTATGCATGTTACCCATGTGACACATGAAACCAGAGAAATAGGTAGTCTGTTACACTTCTAAAACTTACAGTGATCTATTCAGTTGCTGTAAAAGTATTTGCATCTATAGATACCTTGAATTAATACTTCTTAACTCCCCTTCTTTTCCTTAATATTTAGTAAATTTGAAGAGGTCAAGAAATATTAATGTGAAGAGAGATGGCAGATAAGACAATTCTTAGCAAAATAAAAGCCATAGTCTGTAAGATTTTAATTATGGGGGCAAGTTAAAAAATAAATTCTGTGTTAGATGTTTGCTAGCATGCTTATTAAAACTGGAGAATTATCTGAACTATGGAGATCACAGGCAGCTGAAGACTGTCCCATTTGGAAGGGAGCTCTGAAGCATCTGTTATCRCAGAAATATTTCTGAAGATGCAGAAGTCACAACTTTTCCTTTATGAGTTAAAGACTTCCACATAAGTCTTAAAGCCACAGACATGAACATCTGACATGAAGTTTATGGTGTATTTGCTTGTTTCTCTTTCACCTTTGCTTCTGAAATTCAACAAAACAGTARTAGGTCCCCACTAAATTTATTTCATGAAATATTAGCAGGTTTCAGGAAAAATAAAAGGTACCCAAAAACAACARCAAGAAGAAACCTAAAATGCTTTCCTGATTGTTTCTTTGGGTTYTTATTACCAGTTCTTGGGTAATGGGAGTATGTTGCTCCATTCCAAACTGAAGTGCATAAGGCAGATATTGTTGAATGATTTGTTGAAGAACTAATGGTTGCTCAARAAGCCAACAAAAACAAACACTTGTCCCTGTCCAATATACAGATCTATTTAAAGTAAATTATTTAGTGTAAGCTGGGTTTTACTTCAAGAACACATTATCAGTGTAATTCCAAATTCTTTCATGAATTATAATGACATCCAATAACTTTTAAAAAAAGTTAAGTTTTGTTTAAAATGCTGACAGTATGGAGTAACTCAAAGGCTCACTTGAGAATCTTTTGGTAGGGCAGCAGAAATTAGCAAAGCATTTTCATTTGGGGCAGTGTTATATGTGCCTGTAATACAAAATCTGATGTAGGTAAAGATTTCATGAAGTCAGCTTGCAACAGCTGACATGAAATGTCAGCCTAATCCTAAATGAGGTCAGAGAGTAAAATCATTACTGTCTTAAATCAGTATTTTAYAGCACTTTCACTGTAGGTTTTTAATAAGCTTCACTGAAATGACAAAATACTTTTATGCAAAGATATTCCCCTCCAACACTCCAACCTCACAATTCTGATGGGGTTCTTTTCAGCTGATCACATTTTCCTTTTTTAAAACAAGGAACAAGGTSCTTTGAATTGGCAGCCTTTTCACATCTTGTTCCAATAATTCTTATCAATAATTTGTATTTTCTGTATTRGGGTCATACAGAGCCTTTCAAATATCTTTATTTTTCTGACCTCCTCTCAGTGATCGAGAATCCTTGGGTTATGTTCTTTCTGTCTCTGCATTTTTGTACTATTTTTGTTTCTAACTTCTGTAAGGCACTCCTTTTTTTTTCTTAAATTACTTAAAACATTCTTCAGGAGCTTACTGTCTCCTCTTGGTGAGTTGCTCCTAAGTCTCATGTACTTACTGCAGGAAACACTGGAGGTTCTGGAATGTACTGTAGCTCAAGCTTTAGAAAAAATAAACCCTGAAGAAAGGGATGAGTTGAAAGTATCAGGTAAGAACATAATCAAAAATTCAGTGGCATGGAAAGGTTTCATATACAGTCGTAAATAGGATATTCATATATGTGGGGTTTTTTGTGTTTTGTAATTGCAGAATCAAATTACACCAGTGCACACTGTTGTTCTTAGACGTTGGCTAAGAAAGTCTTGAATTAATATTTCAGATTTTAAAGCAGCTCAGCATTTTTCTAGTTTAACTTACATCAGCTCAAGATATTTTAAATGCACTTTGTGAGTCTTTGACGTTTTTTGAAGCAAAATATTACAGATAATACTGGAATTAAGAAATAGCATTGGAAGCACATTTATTTGCATAATTTTTCCAGGTTGAATATGATGAACTTGAAGGAGGCAGTCCAAACTAACACTAGTTCATTTTGAGTCTCAGTAAGTTGTGAAGAAGTCTGTTTGTACTATTATATTTGGGGTTTTTATACAGGTTGTTATGGTTATTGCTTCATGTCTTGATGCTTTAMAGCTTATTACATCACCCAGCTGGGTGATATCTTGTTCTGAGACTGCACAGCAACATTGAAATTTAAGAGAACAGTGTCTTTATTGGGGAGTCACCTTTCAAAAAGTTGGGTTTTTTTCCAATTTTTAAGCAATTGGTATATATTCTAAAAATCTTTTACCCTAATCTCATTAATAGTGTGTATAGCAAAAGTAAAGGGCTATATATTAGTAATACCTGGCTTGTTTAGTTATTGATTCCAGTTTCTTTGAAAACAGCAAAACTTTTCATCGTTGGATCAAACTCTTCATCGATCAGAGATGCAGTTGACCTGGGTAAGTGTGRAACTCAAGTTAGGATTTCTTTTTTACTCTAGAATTTAGATGGGATAAGTTCTAATTTTATTTCGAAGAGATGTATTTAGTCACTGTCACAAGTATATTCTGTTTTCCTATTAAGAGAGATTTAGGTAATCAAGTCTACTTGCACATTAGTTCAGTCAGTAAACTTATTAAATGGATCACTGTGACTTGGATCCACAAACTCAAATCTGATTCCTTGCTCCAAGCTGAAGCAAGTTTTTATTCTATCACACAAAACTTGTTAAAAAGTAAATAGCACATGATGTTTTAATAGCAGTGRTACAGCACTTCTTGTCAATTCTTATTTGTTGCATTTAACGTGATGAACTTTGCTACTAAATGTGCTGTCTTTCAGAGATTATTTAGGAAAMAAAGTAATGCTGCCAGTAGCTGATGAAATAGTTAAGTTTTTCTGAAAATACCATACAATGTCTTTATATAAAGTTGTGTTGGCTTAATGTAAYAGTAATTGTGAGCAGCACTGAACTTTACCACTTTATAAGATTGTTGAACTTAAGGGGTAACCAAAGAAGAAAGGGTCAGATAYCAATATTTTCTATTGCTAAATAGCCTATATTCTATAGGCTAAATAGCCTATATTAGCTAATATTATTGTAAATATCTTACAATAATAGATTTATTTTAAGTTTTGCATTCTTTATGAAACAGACATTAATAGAGTCCTCCTCTTAATAAARTAATTAATTTAGCTAGCTAGTTCTATTCCATTTGCTGTGCTGAAGAGGCCTCATGACTTGCATTTTTCCTGCAGCTCAGTGATACTCCAAGASTTCCATTTTTCTCTGGCAAATTAAATTTCTGTAATTGATATGCCATTAATCTAACTCCTCACACATATCAAGTAGTTTTCCTAACCCATGTCTCRTASTTGAGTTATAGTTTGGTGTGAAAGTTACAAATTTKAAAAAAAATTGAGAGTGAAGGAATAGAAAATTGTTTGTCATTGCTGTCTTCAGAGAAAATTACAGTTTTAACATTAAAAAGGAGGAACAAGCTTCATGCTCTTGTTYGTTTTCTGATGATTTTGGTTTTTGCTGTTTCCTTTCTGTTTCATGACCTACAACTGAGTTTTTGGTCTTTGGCTGTACACTTGATTCTTTGCTAAAAAGGTTTTGTTATTATTCTTGAGTGCAGATACACTCATAGATTCAAACAGTGAATGAGAATCTAGCAGAGTGAAGCAGGAGCTGTGGTYTTTGCTAAATTTGAAGAGTCATGCTGCTTATGTTTGTATCTGACAAAAGATTTTTCAATGTCTTCTTTTTCCTCAGCATGTTCTGCCCTCGGAGTTGCTCAGTTAGACTCAGTCATTATTGCCCCACCTCCTGTTGAAGATGGAATTAACCTGTCCTTGGAATATTTGCAACCTTATTGGAAAGAACTTGAAAATCTAGTTCAAAACAAAAAGATTGTTGCCATAGGTACTTCTGATCTAGATAAAACATTGTTAGAGCAGCTGTATCTGTGGGCACAGGTGAGAACAAACTTCCTACTCATGGTATTTYATAGGACAGAGTAACTGCTTGCTTTGTTGGCTGACACATTGTTATAAACTTCTGTTATAAATGGTTTTATATACAAAATATTCATTAGCCCTGTTATTTTCAATGTTTGTGRATGGTCATAATGTTGTTCAAGGTGGGGGAGGCTCAAATATGATGCCTGTTGCTTGTTCAGTGTTCTTATGTACTGACCAGCGACAGCTGGAAACCACAGGTCTGTGGTAGCAGGTTATTTGAAATACTGAAGATTTGAATTTTGAATTCTTTTATACGTATAGAGGAATATAAATAGTACTCTTAAACCTTCAGATTTATTCCAGTGAGTCTGAAAATGTAGCTGTTTTCCCTTTAAGCTGTGTTACGAAGAGAGGGATTTCCCCTTGGAAAAATGGTTTGTAAGCTTAAATGTAAAGAGGAAGACAGGCTCTGAATGAAGTGGCACAATACTTTGTTGTCCACTGTGACTAATTCATAGCACYATAAAATGGGTTAAAAGATCATTTAGTTCATGGGCAGGGAGATTTTCCACAAGACCACATTGCTCAAAGCCCCATCCAAGCTGGCTTTGAAAACTTCGGGGTGGAAGCCATCCAGCATTTTTCTGAGCAACTTGTTCCAGTGCTCAGCACCCTCACAGTGAAGTATTTCTTCCTAATACCTAATCTAAACCTACCTTGTCAGTTTAAAGCAATTCCCCCTTGTCTTATCACCACATGCCCATGCAAAAAATCCCTCTCCAGATCTTTTGTAGCCCCTTTAAGGTACTGGAAGGGACTCTAAGGTCTCTCTGGAGCCTTCTTTTCTCCAGGCTGAACAACCCCAACTCTCTCAGTCTGTTCACATAGGAGAGGTGCTCCAGTCATTTGATCATCTTTGTGACCTTCCTCTGGACTTGCTACACCAGTCCATGTCCTTCTCATGTTGGGACCCTCAGAGCTGAGTGCAGTACTCAAATTGCCTCTTGACTTTTGAACATCTGTATGGTAGAGGACTGTACTAGAGTGTGCCCATGCTCACGTAAGCTTTGAATATTCCTTTAGGACATTGCTTTTGTGGTATGTAAATATACTGTATTTGTATAAGAGGTCCTGCTGGGAGTCCTGATTTGTGGTCCTCAGTGTTTTATGTACATTGAGAGAGCACTTGCAGGGTTTAATGACCACCTACATGGTGATCATGAATGCAGTTTGTGATAAGAGAAAAAGTCGGTGGAAGAACATCCTTTTTAACTTGATCTGATTCAAGCACTTGTGTGAAGGCACGGAAGATTGCAAATTAATATATCCTTAACAAAATTTATTTGTATTTTTTTTTATTTGAAGTCTTTCAAACTAACATCTGTATAATGCTTTTACTAGAAGGGGGTGAAAAAGCTGCTGCTGTTTAGAGTGCACAGGAGACTGGAAGCCAGAGTACAGTAGGTTAGCACTCATCTTGCTGTGGCAGCACCTGAAGTAAGATCCTACTCTTGGGCTATGTGCTGCCGGGAATTGCAGATGTTGGAGCTGCCTACATTAATTATTCATGYAGAATTAATTAGCCTTACTCAGGCTTCAAAACAATGGTCAAAGGCAAATTGTTCAAAGCAAAATTTCTGTTKTAATAGAAGGCATGGGGGAAATAACTAATATAAGTACATTAGTATTTTTTCTTACAAAAGTATTTTGTTAATTTCAGGTGAAACCAAGTAGTAATCAGGTGAACCTTGCTTCCTGTTGTGTGATGCCACCTGATCTCACAGCATTTGCAAAAGAATGTGACATACAGCTGTTAACTCACAATGACCCAAAAGGTAAGACTTTGCCAGTTAACAGAAGATTTCTAAGTGCGTTTATTCAAAACAAAATTAGGAATAATCTTTCCCAGAACTTCAAAGTTTGTTACATTTGAAGCCTGAACCAAGGATTCTGGAAGTCTCTCCTTTATAAAATATTTCTGTTAAGTTGTTGYTCTCACTTCCTTTCCCCTGTTTCTTGAAACAATCTTGCAGCCTTGAATAATTTCTTGAAATACTTCTAATCAGAGAAATTAAAGTAAATAGAAGAACAACTTACTATGAAATTTGTACTATGTGTATTTCCTCAAAATATCAGATGAAATGTTTTGCTGAAGGTCAGTAAATGACAAATGAAAGTGTACTTGCCCAGAACTTATGAAATAAGTTTACATATAAATATTGACAGTGAGTTGATTTTTGAGTAGCTTGGTAATATTAAACCTGTAAAATTACTGGGCTTTGAGTGGATTCTTTCAAAGTCTTGACTTCTTAAAATAACATTATTACAAAAAGAGTTTAGATTCTTCACTTTTTTATGCAGTAATTCATTTCCTAATGATTGAAGAAATTRGAGACTTTTCCTTTGAGCTAAGTTACCAGCTCCCTAGAATATTCTGGGATATGATAATTCTGTCAAACATCATCTAATCTTCTTCACTCTTACAAACATCCTAAGTGTCTTGTTGGAGTAATACAAAGTCTTAAACAAAATTTACATTTTTGGTTATGACTAATTATTCATTATGATACTTTTCCTTCCTTCTACTTTCTTTCCACTTGACCCCAAAGAAAAAAAGTATATGAAGCATTACTTATAAAGTATATAATTCATAGTGCCACTGTTAGAACAAATAAATTTCATCAGTGCTTGAGCAGGATTTATCACTGCTCCAGCAACATGCAAGATGAATTTCCATTCAAACTGACCATTTCCATGTCCTGTCAAGTTCAAATGCAACTTGCAATTTAATAAATGGTCTCCATTGAAAGTCGTGAAATGAAGGAGAGAAGAGGATTTGGTAGAAAGCAGCACAAGTGATGATTCCTTTATGTGTTGTTTGCTCAGCCTAACTTTTCTGTAATGGTTACTCAGCTGAAGAGTATCAAGACAATTTTTTTGAATACTCGTCACCAAAGACATTCTCTCAGCTAATGTTCCAGAGGAAACTAAGAGTATTTGTACTTGCTTTCTTTTCCTGCTTTGTGGCATTTTAAGTGAATTTTTCTTAACTACAAGCTTTCTAGGCTTATAGTTATTATGAGCCCAGTTATGGGAGATACTGTAAATGCYGAGCTTCTGTTGACTGCAGAGCTAACTATGAATGCTCACTGCTTCACTGATTTTACTCACCTTCAGTTTGTCTAGCTAGCTTCTCAAATTTCATTTTCTCCCACTAATGGCTCTACTGATCAACTCCATTTGATATTCCAGAGTCTCAGTTAATTAGTTTTGTGGGAAATACTCAATATTGCAAAAAACTGTCCTGGAGATTTATTTTGTAATATTCAGCTGCTTTTACCCTCCATGCATTCTGGAAGAGTGGATCTGAGGGGTATGTGGTACCACTTAAGATCTTTGACTGTAGGGAAAGACTTCTCTTAGTAAGTGTTGCTTTTTGCAGCTGTTTACCTGACATTATTTTAAGCACAAATATCCCTTTTTAACTTCAGAATTACTTTGTGAAGCAAGTTTCCAAGAAGTTCTCCAGGAAAGCATCCAGAACGTGAAAGCAAACGAGTGGATTCCTTTATGGCTTCTGCGGTATTCAGTCATTGTTAAAAGCAGAGGAATTATCAAGTCCAAAGGCTATATTGTACAAGCTAAAAGAAATGCATCTTAAAATACTTCTTTTTTTTGTAATCACTTTAAATTTCTTTGAGATGGGGGAACATTGCATTTTTCATAGAAAGACTTTTACAGCATTTATAACAAACTACCAGAAGTTGTAATTTTTCAATGTGATGTCAGCAGGAGTGTCTGTAGTGTTCTAACACTATTTTTCTTTCTTAACCTATTGATGAGATCATTTAAAATATGAAATGTTTGGGGGCTTTTTTATTGAAGTTATCTATAGAGTTACAAATATTTTTCCTTTTATGACCAGTTCACTGTAAAAATTAGCATTATATTTTAGCTGCCATTAGGTAGTACAGAGAAACTTATATTTTTTGTTTTTTAAAAAAACCAAAATTCTCTTAAATAATACTTCCCTGGTAGGTATACATTTCAAGCATTCAAGGACTACCATTTATAAAAAATTGTCATCTTTTATGATAAAATACCCCCAAAAAATTAAGCTGGTATCTCATTACTTGATATGTATATATCGGCAAGTCAGCTGTTTAATTTGTGGGGATGGGAAAATCAGTTTATTTTTAATAGAGTGGAAAAGACCCCTATGATTGAAAAGAAAATGCATCTTCCAAATTACTTTCYGATTGTTACTTGAATTCCTTCTGGCTTCTTTGTGCCTCAATATGCTTTGTTTAGTGTTCGCACAAGTGTGATGGCATTTATACTGTTTGAAATAGAAAATGTATTAACAGTGAATGTTTAAAATAAGTTTGAAAACAAGTGATGAAAAAATCTATTAATCAAAAACTGAATTGTGCCTGTCTCCTTCTCAGCTGTGGCTTGTTTTTTGATACTTGTGAACTACGCAATCAATTGGCCAAGTAGAATAGACAGTAAATAGTGATGCTGTTTACTAAAATTAATWACTTCTTTTGCAATTGCCTGGGAAACCTGTTGCTTGAGTGCCACTCAGGAATGATGAAGCAAGGCTTAGCTTGAAGTTAGATGTCTTTCTCATTGGCAGAGCTTAGCACACTGGGTTTTTAATCCCAGAGAGATTGCTGCAGCTAAGGCAAGGCTTTTGGTTTAATATAGTCTTTCTATCAAAAAGGCCTTTTCCTTTCCTTGGCCATTAAATCAGAATAGATAGCTAAAGTTCAAATTGTAGTTTAGCAGGAACTTTGATACCAAGTGTCTAAAATAATAAATTTCATTTCCATTTCAGACAGAGGCATGGCCTCATACTGGTGATAGTCATTAACTTCATTGTACATATTTTGATATTTGGACTGTAAGGGAATGTATTTTCACCAACATCTTTCAAATTCTTCATATAGGCAGCAAGTGGAATTTGAGTGCCTGTWGGTAGTGTTTAGAGTGTCAGCTTCCTATAAACCATTCCACTAAGTTTAATGATGAAGGTTTTTCAAGGTACCTTAGTCCTCAAATATCTTATTTATAGTGGCAAATAGCAGGAAATTTTCTTGGCTTCTTCAGTGCTTTTGATAAATGAGAGAAATGAAGAATTGGAACTAGTAATGCATCAATAAAAGTTTGAATTCTTTTCTCTTAATTAAAATGTAATGGTTTCTTTTTAATGTTGGGCCAGTGTGTATCAGAGTTCAAAATTGTGCAAGTTTAAACTGCCTTACCAGCTCTGTGTTGTGTGCTGATGATTAACCACTACCTGTACTCTCTSTTACATTTGGCTGAATGCCCTATCTAATTAGTCTTGTGTGTGTGCTCAGTTTTTTTATATTGAAATGCTAGAAGATACTATGCTAAACCAATGTAAAGGCTGCTCTGATGGGATGATGATACATTTGTTTTCTGTAAACTGTTAATAGTTTGCTTGCTGTAGAAAAGTACCTTTTARGACACGGTATTTCTAGAATCACCAATAGTTTAACACTAACAAGTTCTCACATTACCTTATTCGTTTGGTTTGCATCAAGGTGGGAGAGACGGGATTTCCTTCCATGAGAAACCTGAGAGTTTAACTAAAATTTGAAATTCCCTTAGGCCTTTCAGTACAGTATTTTACAATGTCACACGCTTTACACGTTTCAAAGGGCCTGCACCCCGCTAGCCCATCACGTCTCGACASCCGTCGGGCCGGGCAGAGCAGAGTAGGCGGGGCTGGGCCGGGCAGAGCAGGCGGAGCCGCCCCGGCCACCGCCCCGGAACCGCCTTCGCGCCGGAARGGCGGGCGGCAGGAAGGAAGAAGGGCAGGGAGGAAGGGCTGGGTGAGGTGGGGCGGCGGTATGGTGAGCACCAGGCGGGCCGCGGCGGCCCGGCGCCGGGAGCAGGGAGCCCGGGCAGGCGGCGGCAGCCCCGGCCATGCTGTTGCCGATCCCGATCCCACCGCTGCGGCGGAGGTGAGCGGAGCCGGGAGCGGGGCGGGCAGCGGGCGCGGGGCCGGCGCGGTCGCATGACACGCGGCTGCGGATCGGMGGTGGGCGGGCGGTGCGGCCTCCGCGTGGATCGCGGGGTCGGTGCGCGGCCGCGGAGCCCGGAGGGGCGGCCCTGGCGGTTCCTGTGCGCCCGCCCGCCGTGCCCGTGCCACAGCCGGGCCCGCGGGAGGGGAGCAGCCGCCGGAGGTCGTTAGGCCGTTTAGTGTTGCAGGTTAAAGGTGGCCTTTTTCCCCATTGTATTACAGCTGTTTTAGCATTTCTTTGTCACTTAATACTTAGCAGATCATACCTAGTTTTGTGATTGCTGAAAGGCCAGTTTGTTCGTAAAGCTAAAATTGCTTTTGGACACCATTTTGGGGCACATTTAGTGTTTTTAATAGAGCACGTCTTTGAATATTTCTAAACATTTCTTCTGGACTTGCTTCCCCTAATAACTTGACAAAACATTTTAGAATTAAGTGATATTTGTTTGTATTTCGTGAAGGACATGTGTGTTTCTTCTCTTRCCTTGCCCAAAAAACAGTAGAGTGATTAGCAAGGGATGGTTTGTTAAGACTTCTCTGTAGAGAAGGGCTACACAGAGACATGTAATATGTTGTCAGTTTAAGCAGATTTGCTTGAAAAGATTCTTGGTGATTTTTATAACATTTTTAAAATGTAGTTATTTTGCCTGTCAATACCATACTTTTTTTTGCTCCTTTTCTAGGTGGGGTCTGCTGAAGTTACTACTCCTGTGACTAGGAGGATGACTASAAGAGCTAAATCAGGTCGTAAGCCAGAGGTGATTCAGGAATGTCAGTTTGAAGAGCTGGGACATGCAGAAATGAAGTCAGATGTCAGTGATAGCTCAAAGATGGAGATTACTAGGAACGAGAATACAACTGTTCACTCAGCACAATCAGGTGCTGAACCACAAGTTGATGGGGATGTGTCAGAAACAGAATCAAACTGCTCTTCTGTGTCTGGTCTCCAGACACCKTTGTTTGTAAGAATAACACGAAGGCGACAAATTGTAATTCCTTATCAACCGGATTCTGCTGACAAAAAAAGACGCGACAATACAGCTTTTGTAAATAAGTTAAGTAGGATTCTGGATGAAGATGATGTCTCTGAAGCTGAATCTTGTTCCTCTGCTGTTTCTGGTGTCCAGATGCCTAATGTTACTCCAAGTACAAGGAGCAGGCAAAGCAAAAAGAAATTGCAGCCAAATACAGTTTGGGAAACCCATAGTGAAGATACTTCTGATACAGAATCATGTTCTCTAGGTTCTCATGTGAAACCGTCTGTCAATACCAAACGAATTACTAGGAGCATGCAAATGAAATCACAAGCAGAAAAGACTAAGCGGACTCAGGAAAAAAATAGATCTGTTTTAGAAGACGAGAGTTTAATTGAGGACCCCATTAATTCTGAGCCCAAAACAATTTGTGATTCTAGACCTGCTGCAGAACTTGTCTCTGACACAGAAGATGCGTCCACTCTCATTAAGGCTAATAAAGAACCCAGTTCATCTAACAGCAAATCTGCTAATGCAGGCCAGAGTGAAGACACAAAAGAAGAGATTTTAAATTATGTGACAGCCAGTCTTACAAAAATGAAAGAAAGTGATGCTAAATCACCTGCGAAAAAACCAATAAAAATGACTCAGTCTGTTGAGACAGACCATTCAGAAGCGATATGTAGACAAATACAAGATCATAGTAAAATACTAATGAGGGAGGGGAAACTAGAGCATGTGGCTGTTTCTTTGACTGACTGCATGAGTCCCAAACAATTTCTAGAATCCCAAGGACAGGTAACACCAAATGAAAATAAAAAAATTCCAGAATGTGAAAGAGCAGATATTGAGGCAGATGCACAGCAGTCTTCTATGTGTGCTGATAAATTAAGGAACAGTAAGAAAGCTAGTACAGTGAGCAGCCCATCAAAGGGCATGKCTGTTGCACAGACGACTGAAAGCATTGGTAAAAGCAGGAGGCTTGAAATTGGTGCAGACAGTGGTGAAGACCAAACAAAAGAACATGAGGTATCCCATAGCAGTGAAAGATCAAACAGTGGTAATGATTCTGTTGCACTGTTTCTGAGCAGTAGTGAAAGTGATGAATCTGAAAATAGCCGTGCAGTGGACATAGATACAGTTGATGAGAATCTGTGTTATAAAAAGTCAGATGGGAGAACTCCTTCCCTCAAAAAATCTTTCAAAAATGGTTCACTGCATGTTGAGGGTCTTTTTGTAATTGATACTGAGCCTGGCATGAGTTCCAGCCAAAATTATTATCTGGATGACGTAGAACAAGACAGTGATGCTGAAAGTAAGCAYGAAGGAGGCGAAAAAGATAAAGACTCGGATTTGGAAGAGGCTGAAGAGGAATTAATAGATGAAGATGAACGAGATGAAGATGATGATCTGTTGAAAAATAAGGTTGACATGTAAGTATCTCTCTGGGAATAGCTAAACAATCTGCATTTCATTTAAGCMTATGCACATTAGAATATGCACATTAAGTGCAGAATAAATAAGGGAGTAGTCTCATTACATACTCATGTTGCTGCAGAAAACAGTGTTGCACATATTACAAAGTAAGAATATGGTCCATAAATTGAGGGTTTGGGAACTTTTTCAGTCTTGTATATAGTAGGAACAGAACTCTGAAATCTTTTTGGCATGTGGAAGCCTTGTATATGTTCGGCTTAAAAAATAATGTAAGTCTAGGTTTAACTGGTTAGGCTGACTGAATGGGTTATTCAGATCACAGTTTTGTTCTGGTTTTCTTTTTTTTTTTCTAGTTGTAATGTAGATAACAGAAGGTCTAGTAAATTSTACACATATTACCTGATTGGTAATGTGCATATAATTGCATATAATAACAGTTGCATATARTTGTATGTGTCAGTTCTTGCTGTGCTGTGGATGGTGAAACTTCAGGTGAAACCTAGCATGGAATCAGAATTATTTAGGTGGTAGTTTTTGAATTCTTGTAGAGCAGCTGCTGCTAAAATCCATTCATATACTTCATATGTTTAAAGCATAATACTCATGTAGGTTGGATAAGTAAGGCTTCAACTAGTGAAAACCCTCAGGCAGGCCAAAAGTCTTAGCTAAGAAAACTTAGCCAGGCATTCAGTGTGAAGGCATTATACAAGATCAGTTAGAGTTTGATAGAAAGTTGTCAAAGGGTTTGTATTAATAAGTATTAGATATTACCATCTTTCTCCATTGTAATTTATAGCTTTTAAACATTCTTGTCATCAAAACCAGACATTTTACGTTGTGGATACATTCCTTTGGCTGCCTGAAAGAAGGAATGAAACAAATATACGAACTTCGAAATATTTCATAGAACCATCACAACTCTGAGCTATTGATCATGACCCTCTGGATGCAGCCATCCAACCACTTATCCAAGTTCAATAAGATTGTTCCTTGTATGGTTATACAGACATTATAGGACTTAAACATTCCAACAATGAATTCTAGTTACTTCTCATTAAGAGTTACAGTAGTTTTACTAGCAATGTGTTTTGGTTTTTTCTCTTTAGCTAGCAAGCTTTTCAGTGTATAGTAGGATGCTGGTCATGAGTYCTGGGAAGATTAAGCACATTTAAGAACTCAGTTGTACAGAAGATAATAATATCTAAGATAAGAGTGCAGCATTAGAGTGAATATGAAAGAATAGTGGATGTGATTCCACAGGTGTTTTTTAATAATAAAGTCTTACTCTSTATAATGGCATGAATCCTCTCCCACCTGTCATTTCAAAGTTACATACTCTGGTAAAAAGACTTAAAGTCATTGCAGAACTGAACCTAATTGGGAAGAATAGTATTTTTTTTTCTGTTCATCATCCTCAGAGGACAGTAGAAGGTTTAGCTGCGTGCATGGTACAATGTTCTAATAATTAACTATTTCTCCTTTAGTTTACRTCTTTCCAGTAGCATAGACCCTGGTTTGAATATCAAAAAGCTTGGAGGTTTATATATCAGTTTTGATGCAAAAAATCAGAAGCCTACTTCAACTGTAATTAAACAACTGAAGGAGAAGAAGAAGAAGGACCAGGTAATGCATTTTAAATTATTCAGTTATTTGTGAGTACAGTAACACAAAATATGTTAATCTAAGAAGGTTGGTTTGTTTGATTTTAAATAAGTAAAAGAATTAGCCGTTTTATGGTTCATTGAGAACTTCCATTCTTTTTGCCAAAGTGTGGATTTACTTTTGGTTTTAATGGTGAAAGTTTAAATATTCCTGACTTTTCAGAAACTGAAAAATAGAGCAAATTCCAGCATTACCTTGTAAAATAAACCAAAGTTGATGATAACTGGAGTTTTGCCTAATGATGCACAAGCTTAAGGTCTGCTGACCATATATTTAGTCCAATATGGAATTAGCAGTTTTATTTCAAAAGCATCCTTTGAGATAAAGGGAATGTGTTCTTTTTGTTGGGACTGTTTTCTTGGGCTCATCCATGATAGCTCTCTTTCCTCTGGAGAATTTGCTGCCTCAGTTCCTCCAGAGCGAGCCAGCTGCTTTCTGTTGTTGTCCAGTGTTCTATTTTCAAGATCCCTGCCGTTTGTATATTACATTATAAGGCTTGCTTAGAGTCTGCATGATTCCTTCAGTAGGTTTTGTAAATRCAGTTTAATAAGTAAAATTTGTGTCAGTGAGGTGACTCTCTAAATGTTAAAAAAATTCTTACAGCTCTTGCAGAAGAGTGTAATTACTCCAGACTTTGAAAAAAAGGAATGTGTCCCACCCTACAGGGAATCGCTTCATCAGCTAAAGAAACAGCGAAGGGTAAGTGAAGAGCTGCTAATGCCTCAAATAACGAAACAAGCTGTGGTAGAAAGGTGCATGCTGGGACTGTATGCATATCCAGGCCTCACTGAAAATGGAGTGATGAACTGCARTTTTGTGCTTTTTCCAGCTGTCCTGTGAAAAGCCATTCTTTCAGTCACCAGCACAGTGAGTGATAATATGCTCAGATGGTACAAATCTGTCATTGATGTAGTGCTGATGACCTTTATAATAGTGGTCATAAAATACCTGTTTTAAAGGTACATATTTACATTCTGAATGCTTCATCCAACTTCTGTAGGGAAGAGTTCTGTCCTGTCCAGTTGCTGAATGCAGATTCATTGTTCCTGCTATTGCATCCTAGGCAGAGCGAGAGAAAACAACAGGTGATGGCTGGTTTGGTATGAAAGCCCCAGAAATCACAAGTGAACTGAAAAATGATCTTAAAGTTTTGAAGATGAGAGCTTCATTGGACCCTAAACATTTCTATAAGAAGAATGATAGAGATGGYCTGCCCAAGTACTTCCAGGTAAGGAAGCAGCGGAAGTGGCATTATACTGCTGAAATTTTGAACAGCTGTTTAAGAATACCTAATAATGCCTATTTTTTTTTCAATGTTGATTTATTTTCATATCTTAATTTTTAAAGTATTCTGATTACTTGGCTGGAGTTTACCACTGTTKAACTCTGTATTACATATGTATTTATGTTTTCATTTCTGTTTTTTAGGTTGGAACTGTAGTTGATTCTCCCATAGACTTTTACCATAGTCGAATCCCTAAGAAACAGAGGAAGAGAACAATTGTGGAAGAGCTGCTTGCAGATTCAGAGTTCCGAAGGTATTTAAAAGTAGTTTTGTATTCTAATATCCCATGTAAAAGAGGAGTATTTTTAATTCAGTAGCCTTTTTTTGTTTTATTCAGCTTGTATGGTGGGTTTTATACTTGAAAGAAAAAAATTTAAATTTTTACTGCTTCCATAGCATTGCCATTTAGAAGGTCTAAGGAACAGGGGATAATAAGACTGAGATAATGTATATTTCATCTTCATAAAAGGGTTTTATYTAACTCGGATCATCACTATTGGCAGCCACTCTTAAAGAGTGATTATTTTTTGTTGGCATAATTGATAGAAAAGAGCAGCCTGTGAACGTTGATACTTTCATTTTATAAATTTGTCAGTCTGCCACCTGTCATGGGAATCAAAATTGTGCTAGAAGATTTAGTTGAAGATCGTAATTGGATTAATGTCTGCATAACTGACAGTTTTTGGAGTAGATCCTTCAGTTGGTCCATTTTGATATTGGTTATCACATGATGTTAATCTGCACTTTTCACATAATGACATGTTTTCTTTGAAGTAGTTCATTATTTCAGATTATATAGTTAATTTTATCATTTTTTTTATTTAACTATATAATGTTGGGAAGGCAAGTTAGTAGAGCTATTTCTTAAGCAGTTTTATGGTTTGACGTGGTTTATAAGGTCTTTATTAAAAGGTAGTTTTAAAAATTAATGTATTTAAAATTTGATTAGTTAATTTATATTGTGGCTAATTAAGGGCTTTAGTACTCAGCATTAGTGCAGATATTTGTCAGATTTCAGTGTTGTATTTAAAAGTCTCAGCACTGTTCCTTGTGCAGTGTCTGTCGTACCCATCGGGGCAAGTACGTAAGAACCTGTRTAAGAGGAGCAAGCAATGCACATTCAGCCAGTGTACCCTGCTCATTATTTAGTATTCATCTTATCTCAGTTTTCAAACTGGACTAGAGTGAGGTTCATTATCTTGTGTGTGGTGAATAGGCAGTATAAAAGTSGGTGTAATTTCTTCATAGTATTGTTGAACTTGCTGAGTCTTCCCCTTATGAGCAGTTGCAGTGTTCAGCAAACTGTCTACAATAAATACTTTGGGAAACTGTCCTTTCCATTATTTGTATCTTTTTCAAGTGTGAACTAAAATTCTTCAGTTTGAGAAAATCCTTATAAAAGGAATATTAAATAAAATGTTTGCTTTAATCAGTCAATCAATCAATATTTTCATTCAAAATTGATATGATTCCGAGTAAATACACAGAATCTATCAGCTAAGGTCCAAGGGATTTAGTGATTGCATATGCAGTGAAGACACCCCCCTCAAATTAATGACAAAATTCAATAGAATTTACTTTCAAAACAAATTTACCTGCATTTATCATTGATCCAACTGTTGATTTCCTTAATTTTGGCTGAAGTCTATAAAATCAGAGAATCTGATTCAGAAGGTATGAGAAAACTCAGTTCAGCAAATTATGCACATAGAGTACTGTCCATGTTATTTCTCCCTGAACTTTGGTTTGCCATGCTTAAAAGAAAATTRTCTATTTTGTTCAGATATAATAAAAAGAAGTATCAGGAGATCATGAGTGAAAAAGCAGCTTTTGCAGCAGGGAAGAGGAATCGGAAGAAGAAGAAATTTCACAATTAAGAATTGAAGAAAAATACCAAGCTGGAACAACTTACTTGTTATAAAACTTTCTTACAGAATGCTTTGGTTGTGGTGTTTTGTTTGTGTTTTTTTAAGATTGCAGGTCATGTGCAAATTGAGGTTTAGGGAAATTCTTGAAATTCTTGCCATGAGAATTTGGTAGGAAGCTTTAGCAAATTATAGGGTATCTAAATTTAAATTAATTTAGAGTTAAAAATTACTTCTAGTTTAATTAATATTCATGTAAAAAGATAATTATATGAAAGCATATTGTTAAATCTGAATACAAAATTGAGCTTCACAAGAAGCTTAATTGAGGTCTTCTAAGGCTTCAGACTTAACATCAATTAATTAGTAAATTAATTTTAAAGTTATATGTGTAATTCACCTTGGCACACATTGTGTGCCAGAATATATTTTTCCATAYCTTGTCAGAGGTGCTGCTGGCCGACACGGTAATACAAAGTATTGAAAAATGGTTGGTTGTGAAGGACTTACTTCAACACTGACCATAATAGTATAATGTCTTGGAATTCAGTGCCTACACATATACTTTTATATTTATGTGTGTATATTTTACAATRCAGAATATATATTATTTAGAAGATACAAATTACATATTATTTAATAAATAATGTAAGTAATATTTACATGTAAAATTTTAACAGTCATATGTTGGTTTTATTAATTTTTACCATTTGTTTATTGTCTAATGATGTTTTTGAAAATAACTTAACATTGGCATTCATTATCTAGGGTGTAGTGTGCAGATTGTGTCTGGTAGCTAACCTGGAATCATTCTGAAGATGARCAAATAGAGTGAGTCTGGAAGGCCTCTGCTACCATTATAGAGCCGGAGATGTCACCGGCTCAGTTCCCCTTTAGTGACAGTTCATAACCTTTTGTGATTGCCAGAACTCCTGTGATGGTTGGTTTTTAATGATCTGATAATTTTATTGCTGTTACAATTAGTGTAAATTAGTTACTGTCCTGAGGTAGCAGAAAAGATGGATAATAGAAGAAATAAAAGTGACACTGCATTGTCTTAGGTGAATTGGCTGATAAGGATGTAGAAGTCATTATCAGAGTGGTGTTGATTGTTTCCTTACCACAAGAACACTGAATTTTMAAGGTTGCAGATCTTAAGCAAAAAGCACTTAACTATATTCTTGACTAATGTTTAACCATCGAGTTTTCTRCTGAGAAGTAGTTGTTTTTTTAAGRGTTAGTTATTTGTGCTGAAATGAGCATCATGGTATATATTGACCACCAACTGAAGCTTGAAAAAATTTTTCTTCGGTTCCTTTGGTGTTTTCTTTTATCATTTCAAAGTTGGCCATAATGTTTTCCTACCAGAAACAGACAGGAATCTTGAGTCCTTAAAAAGCCTTCACTACCTGGAGATGAATGGTGTCAAAGTAAAGTGAATTAATTGGGAACTATCAAACAAGTACAAGTAGAAGCACCTGTCCCCAGGTCTCATTTAATATGCGCAGCTATTCCAGTGCACTACATGCATGCTAATATCTCAATTCCCCGTAAATGATAAAAGCCAATAAAAACAACTATGGTGCCTTGGTCTGTAGCTGAGACATGGAAGCACAAAAATATTAATACTGAACTGAGAAGAAAACAAGACACCACAGTAGTTGTCATTCTGTTGCATTGTGGACTATTCAAGTGTGGAAAAGCAGTGACTCTGAAAGACTTAAAACAAGCAACAACGCAGCAAGCAACAACTCTGTGCCTGTTGCTCAGACTGCTCAGTAGCTACAGAAGTWACTTCACGTGCAGCATAGCTAATAAGGGATTTGGTTTGTGTTCTGTATCCTTTCCCTTCCYTTGATTCTTTTAATCCCTTCTGTTTTGTCCCACACTGCCCAGCGAGTGCCCTGGACAGTGTTCACAGGGCTGCAGGGTGGTACTTGCAGGTTGTGTTGGCTGGCTTTGTCCAGTCACCTTTGTCTGAGATTGTGCTTCAGCCTCTCTTAGATGAGGTACTGGACAGAGCACCTTTCCTTAACCACCAGTTTTCATAAAAGCACAGACAGATGGACTTTGAAATTGCCATAAAGTTTAAGGTGCTGGAGAGAGGAAAACCCAAATGTGCTATGGATTGCCTAGGCTTACTCTGAAAACACATAAAAACTTCGGTGGAGCTTTGCCTATCAATTGCAAACAGTATTTTCCTTTAGTGGCTGTCAGAAATACTAGTGTTAATCTGTAATTCTGCCTTTACTGAGTTAAACCATTACTAACCAGAAATCTCCCTGAGATTAAAGGGCAATAAGCAGTGTGTTGATTTTTGTACAAATGCACCTATTGTTTGGGATGTCATTGGAATATTTTATACAGCCAGCATTAATTCATTYGTCCAGTTTTTTTATGCTCTCCTTGGTTTTACCAATATTTATTTTTCTTTTTTGCCTTGGGGCAGATACTATGCAATGGCTRCATAGCCCAAGTAGTTTACAGTCCATCTCCTTCCTCAGTGTTAAAACCAAAGACTGACGATAGGGACCAGGGTGACGGTGACTGGGGTGTTGCTCGTGTGGTGTTACTAGTAGCAATGRGTTATGAACAGAACTTAGGAACTTCTTGGGTTCTTTCCATCATGCTCTTACTGTACATACTTGCTCTTTTTTCCTTCTTYGGCAGTCTGTAACCTCTCTGCAATCGGTTTAGTTTCCTTAAAACTGAAGGTGTCTTCTTATCATTGCTGTTTTCCATATGATAAAACTTCGATCTAACTTTTCGGAAGTCCTGCCTTTATCACAGGAGTCTGTCTGGCTTAGTGTTGTTGAGACTTGGAATCCTGCCATAGCACAAGTTGGAAGGGACTTGAGAGCTTGTCCCACCTGGTCTTCTGCTCAAAATAAAGTCAGACCAGGTTGCTCAGGTCTTTCCACAGTCAGGTCTTGAAAATTTTCAAGAATGGAGACTGCTCATCTTCAGAGCACCAGTGCTTGACTTCATGCAAAAAAAAATTCTTCATATCCAGTCAGATAGAAGGATTATTATTGATTGGTGGATTGCCTCTTGCCCTTCTCAACACTTTTTTTTTTTTTTAAATTACTCCATAAATTTGTAACAAGCAGCATCTGTCCAATTTATAGTATTTGCTATAGTCCTTATCTTTTTTTGTCCTAATTTTCTTATGTACCTGTGCTTTTCCATTTGAATTCACATTAGAATCTGTTATACTGCTGGTCTCAGTAGAGCTATCTATCCCTCTGCTTCCAGGAAATGCCCAGCTCCTTGAACCAGCAAGTTTTTTTTCTTTTGGACTTAATTCTGCATTTTTAGAGTTTTGATCATGTAAATATTACTTGCAACATGAAAATATGTATATGTAGAAGCCTCTGTCTTCAATTTTTTTTTCCTTAGGAACTAAGCACCATTTATGAAGCTTGAAATACAAAAAGTAGGAAGGGAAACAGTATTTGGACTGAAGTACATTAGAAGTGACTGAATACGGAGACCCTGTCGTCTGATTTAGTTGCTTTTATGGGGTAAATACAGAGAGATTTTGGTTTTGCTATTTGCARATTGTGAGGATTTAGATGTTTTTCTGGAGGGCTATCTATTTTATAGGTGGATATGGCCTTTTTGTGTGAGTTACTGTGCTGCAAAACAGTGATGGTTGAGGTGCCGGATGGTGTGTTTCTGATTCAAATTTTCTTTTGTTGCTTTTAAATAAGCATTTTTACAGTTGGGAAGTTACAACTGCAGAATTAAAAATAATTTCTAAAAAGAAAAACCCCACAAATTTAATAATTCAGGGATAATGAACCAGATTAGTTTATTCCAATCTGAGCAAAATCAAGGTGGTTTGTTTATTGCTGCTACTGTTTTATTTTACCACCTAATTTGATTGCTGTAATTAAAATRGCTCCTTTATCTGTAGGTATGTATAAGTCAGAGAACGTATTCTGGTGTTTTGTTGGCTGCATTTTGTGGGCTTGTTTTGTTGCTTGAAACTAATCAGAAATTTATCACGGTGACCCACTGTAACTGAACTGCCTGCAGGAAAGAGACAGTCTTGGGTTTTCAAGTAAAATTACTTCGCGCAGACTGTCCTGGAAGCGAGCGGCCCCACAGGGCTGATTGTCGGTTCCGATCGCTCGGGCCCGGGAGGAGAAGGAGCAGAGCCCATCTCCCGCTGCCCGAGAGCGGCAGGGCCGGGAGGAGAAGGAGCAGAGCCCATCTCCCGCTGCCTGAGGGCGGCAGGGCCGGGAGGAGAAGGAGCAGAGCCCATCTCCCGCTGCCCGAGGGCGGCGGGGCCGGGAGGAGAAGGAGCAGAGAGCCCATCTCCCGCTGCCCGAGGGTGGCGGGGCCGGGAGGAGAAGGAGCAGAGCCCATCTCCCGCTGCCCGAGGGCGGCAGTGCCGGGAGGAGAAGGATGGCAGAGCCCATCTCCCGCTGCCTGAGGGCGGCAGGGCCGGGAGGAGAAGGATGGCAGGACCCTTCTGCTCCCTTCTCGCTGGCGGTGAGCACGCTTCGTGTGGCCGGGCCCAGCGGAGACGGCAGGGTCGGTCGATGGCGGCTGGTGCCGCTGTCGCCAYCCGCTTCCAGCCTTCCCGTCAGCCAGGCACGGCGGGAGGCGGCCCCGGAGAGCCTCGCTGACGGGAGAAGCGCCAGACCGGCGGACCGGATACCTGCGGCGGTGAGGTAAGGCACGGGAGAGCACGGGAAAAACATTCCCACCCAAAAGGYGTAGGGGGCGGAGGAAATTTAAAAAAAAATTGATAAACAAAAGAGAAGACACGACTCCGCCGGGACTCGAACCCGGAACCTTTGAATCCCTTCAACCCTCTAGAAGTCCAATGCGCTATCCATTGCGCCACGGAGCCACCTGTTGGAATCTTCGCACACCGCCAATAGAGCCTGCGCGTGCCCTCATTCCTTAGTCCTCGTTGTTTCGGCTTTTTCCCCTTTCTCTTTTTCAATGTTATTTTTCTTAACCGGCATGAAATGCGCTCCGTCGTACACGCTGCTGCATAAACGAGTCTCGCTGCAGCCCCTACGTGCCGCCTGAGCGCTGCCCACGGCCCGGGTGGGGCCCATGGCTTCCTGTGCAGTGCTCGCCGCAGGGCTGCGTCCTGATTCCTCACGGAAGACCGTCTGTAAATTAATCGGCGATCAGTACAAAATGTTTGTTCATCCTAAYCTGGTGTTTTCAGCATTAATCCCTATGTTTGAGTGAATATCATTGTAATCCGCAATTGTCTTGTATAGAGGAAGTCTTCCTCAAAACGTCCGTAAATTCTCAGTAGCACTGCCCTCCCCGTTGGATTCAGRAAAAGATTTTTCCATAAAAGCTGCAATTACAGTCTCAAGCAAGTCAGTGGTACTATTTCTTTTTTTAATAATGAGTGGGCATATTCGAAACCCCGAGAGACAAGGGTATGAGGTTATTCTTTCTTTAACCTTCGTCACCAGGATATTTTACGTGTAGCCCGGGGCCTTTTGCTCGGTGAGGGGGAGCGGGACTGCCGGCACCGGCTCCGTGGCGGGCTCCGCGCAGTGCGGCCTGTGCAGTAAAATGGCTTTGTGAAAATCTCGTGTTGGCTTCATCATAATTTAAAAATACAGGTATCCATAAGAGTGGAGAAAAAAAATGTAAAGAAGCACACCCTAAAATCTGAGGAACCAGGAAGCTAATCAAACCGATGTAAAATAAATTAACTAGGATACACAATCCCTGAGGCATTGCATCCAGGGCTGAGATACCGAGGATAATGAATAACTGAGGTGACTCAATTTTCTGGCAGTGTGTCCTGTGGTTCCCAGAAAGCCAGCTAGTGCCCCTGTGCCAGCAGTAAGTCAGAGCTCTTGAGCTGGCTGATGAGTGAATAGCTTCTGCAATGCTGCCCAGAAGAGGGGGTTGCTGGATAGGTTCAGTTAGTTACAGCTAGTACCATATTGGAGGTACAACCCCCTAAGCTACCATACTATTGTTGAGCTGGAACACTTGTAAACAACTGAACARTTACTAAGTTGTACGAGATTCAGAGCAGGTCTGATCGGATTTGCAAACTCTGGGTCCATGTGGTCTTGCCACAACTGTCCTGTTATAGACAGAACTCTTCATAGCGCTCCTGGTAAAGAAATGCAAAATCTGGTAAGTTTGACTCCTCAAAGCCTTGTACTGTACAAAAGAAACAGAAAACTTGTTTTTAAGTACTGGGCTGATCTTCAGAATAATAAGCTTAAATTTATGTTTGTGCAATTCAAATAAACCACTTGTAAGTAACTAAGAATCACTGTAAACATCTGGTAGTTTGTGGAAACCCCTGGCACTTTTATTGTGGGGTGCAGTGAGTGTTGGAGCCTCACCAGTGTGATCTGGTAGCGTGGCACCTTTGGACAGCACAGCACTGAGTGCCTGCAGATGGTGAAGAATCAGAGTTTGCTGTCACAAGACTGGTTCTGAAACTGTAAGCATGAAGAATTGTGACACACATGATTGTTACTTCCTTTCACGTTTTCGTTTTGATCAGTTGGTTTATAAAGGTAGATAGAGGCTGGTTCCATTCATGCAGGAGGACTGACTAGGGAAAGGTTTGGAGTTTTTCCAGAAATGTTTCGAATTATTCAAGTAATTTTTGCTTTTCTATTCCGTAAATATAGTCCCAATGCAAAGTCCACCTTTGCGTTTGGACAGCAGATGGAGCTACAGCATGAGAAACAGGGCAGCTCACGGGTCATGAACTTGCAAAATGTGTTCATCGGCAAAAACGACGGATCTGATTTACCTTTGCTGGTGCCTGGACTCGGATCAGTCCTTTGGACTTCTTCTAGGACTGTCTGAAGTCCAYTTCTGTTGCAAGCTGGCTTTCATTTTGGCTCCTCTTCCATTTTATGTTCTTTTTTAAGGAACAGAAATTTCTTGGAATAGAGTTGTGCTGGTTTTAGCTACTGACAGAGAAATTTTGCTGAGCTCAGTGAGGTGCCATTTTGCTAATTTTTAATAGGAGGAGAAACTGAAGTAGCAATACCTTGAACAAGACAGGAATTGTATCAATGGCAGGCCAAAAATATTATCATCATATAGCAGTGTTTTGTTGATTTAAAAACATCTAGGTGTTATTTATTAAATTGAAGTGATCTTCGAGAGACATTTTACCACTTGAGTTTCAACATTAACTTCTGTTAATGTACTACAGTGCTGTGTACTGTATATCCAATTACTTTCGGTAAGAGTTGAGCTTAAAAACTTATTCAAATGGCAATTTCCAAATTTGCAGGGCTTTCCCAGATGTTTGTTGGCAGCACCCTCATCTTTCTCTAAGAACAAGTGTAATTAATACACTTGAAAGCAAGTGGTCAAAGAAGGCTGTAGACTCTTCATGTCCTTTCAACAAAAAGATGTCACTATCAGGACATCACTAATGTCTTAGGCCTCTTGTATCCCTGCATGCTACCTGCCAAAAGGAAAACAAATCTCTTCTAATTTTACAAGTTACAGAAACCTAAGAGTTACTTCTTGTGAAAATGACCATTCTCTTATATACAGGTAGAAATCTGAAATTATTCATACAGTAAGAGAACACTTCAGGGTTTTTTTCTGTTGTAATTGTTATTAGAGTGTCGATCAGAGATGCACAGGAGCTAAGGAGCTAACTGAGGAAAAGGAGCTGTGCCAGGTGGTCGGCAGGCTTTGTACCATATGGAAAAAAGAAGAGATCAAGAGGAGATCAGATGGAGAGCATTGTTACTTCTGGCAAAAGAAGAGAAGGCTCCTTCCCTGCCTGCAGAAATGCAATCACAGAATAAATGTGGTGGCCTGGGAAGTGATGAGGATGAACAAGGACCATTGGGGGAGGCATCAGAGCCAGCTGAACCTCAGCCAAACATCAGCAAGAAAAGTAAAAGACAGCTGATAGGTGTTGGAGATTCCCATCTGTAGGGAGTTGAAACATTCCTGCTACCCTGATGTGATGTTTTGGGATGTTTGCTGAGTGCCAGGATCAAGGATACTGCAGAGAAACTGCCAAGGCTTTTCTGGTCCTTAGACTTTTGCTCCTTGTGGAGCATCTGCGTGGGCACCAAGGACGTATCAGGAGGGACAGTGAAGCTGTRGGGCTGAAGGGTGAAGGTTACAAGGGCCCAGGTCCTTTCAGGGAGCAGAAGAGCCTTGGATAGGAAAGGAGACRTCCTGAGGAAGGGTTATTGTAATCTAAAGAGAAATGATGATGCAAGGTCAGTGGTGTCCTTAAAATAGGGGAGGATCCCACTCTTCTTCTGTGAAAGCAGCAAAGCTGGGGGCTTATCCTAAGTGCCTTTCCATAAATGCTTGAAGTATGGAAAAAAACAGAAGGAATTTGAAGTTTGTCCACAGTTGGAAAACTAAGATGTCATGAGAAATAGCATAACAGTTACCTGAAAAATAATACTTTATTTATTACTTTCTTAGTAATTTCTAACCTTTTAAAATTCAATTTGATGATATCAAATGGTTTTATAAAACAAGATAGCTTGCAGAATTCCATTTGTTGGCAGACTGACTCATGCTTAAGTGACTTGGTCAAATATATCTGCCAGTCTCTAACAGGGCCAGGTCAGCTCTGACTKAACTATCTGGAGTTCTACTCCAATTTTCTTTTTCTTATTTTCTATCCATAAAATTTTATAATGCATGTGATTATGTAGTGCAGTTAGACTACTATTTTTAGAACTGTAGATCTGCCAAATTCATTGCTAGTTGCAATAGATTATGCTCATTATTTGACCCAGAATTGCAATTTTGTACTAGCCAAGTTAAAATATGGCTAATTTGTATTAGAGCTGGAAGTCCTAATTTACCATGTGTTGAAGATAATGGAAGTATATAAGAAAAGTGAAAACGGTTAAGTTCATATACCCAGTACATTAAAATTTGCTCAAGAATCTTTGTTGAAATGACTGTGTAGACAGGCAGCTGCACTTACACTGATATACTATAATATAGAATTATTGGTTTGATCAGTGCTTCCAGACTGTCAAATGTAAAAATAAATATGCTTTGTATCTGTAAACTCAGTGAATTTGTCTTGGAAGTCATTTAGATATTGTGTGAGTGCCATGTTGCAACCTTGCTTTTAGCTCAAAAGCAGAACCCCAAACTTGGATTCTGCACTTTTGTAATCTGTCAGTACAACTTTTTCYCTGTTTTAACAGCTCTAGTGGAAGCACATTGAACTATGAAGTGATTTGTATAGCTGACCATCACACAGTCTTTGCTCCATATTCTTCCTTCCCAATTTTTCTCTCATAAGACCAGTCATTGAAGTTAATGCAACTTATCACCCAGCAGAAGTTACAGTATGAAGAAACAAAAGGCTGCACATCAAAGGGTCTTCTGTGCAGACAGAGAGACACAAAAGCTTCTTTGTGATGAATGTGCAGAGTTAGCTCTGCCACTGTAAATCAGCAGTGAATTTTCTTCAATTCTAGCATTGAAGTAAAAGAATGTCCTTTGTTCTTGTRGGGGGTTTACTTTTATTTCCCAACTGCTCCAGGCAGTAAACATGGACTTAATAACCAAAAAAATTCATTTCCTGTGTTCAGAATTGTRATACACTTTTATAGAAGTGTACCTTGGTTTATTCAAATCAGTAATAGGTAGCAGTCATATCTGCAGCAATGTGAAACAAGCAGCTCCTACAGTCAGTGATATCTGGAAATCATAGGAATCACTGATAACAAGACCCCTTATGTTTTGCCACACCCTCCATGGAAATAATGTTGTTATTGCAATATATAACTATAATTATATATTTTGCTACAACGTATATATTTTGCTTTATAACTATAATTATATATATTGCAATATATAACTATAATTTTGTACATACCTGAGTTTGAAACCACTAGAGTGTGGTATCTAGGAAAATAGTATTAAAGAGCCAAAAGAAATGCCATCACAATTTCTATCCAAAATTACAGAGATTAGGGTAGACATTTACACCTTAACATTTCAATCAATTGTMAGTACAAGTGGCCTTCATTCCATAACTCACTACAAAATTATCACTTGCTTTTGTTAGTGCTGTGATGACAAGATATGTGTCTAAAAGTGTAAATATGACTTCTTAATTTACCTTCAAGCACCAATCCTATTTACAGGTAGTTTGGAAGGGAAATAGGCACATTTTGTATTTGGTATTAATTGCTATGTAATCAATATTAATTACATAGAGGTTTTGTGYTTTGTAATTGACGGTTTGCATCTTGTTTGACAGCAATGCAGGTATCTACTAGAGATAGTTGTATGTTTTATGTTACTAATAAGAACGAGAAGGAGTGAAACAGCTTTTGGTGAAATGGATCTCTAGGCAGGCTGGACAAATAACTTTCACACTGAGTTAAAATGGAATAATAGAGTCTGGTAGAAAAGTTACTTAAGAATGCTTGGAAAATCTGAGAGTGTAAGTGAAWAAAAGAAGGGGCAAAGGGGAAACAGAAAGACCTGGACTATGGAGAATGAGAGTAATGCTGATAGTGCTAATAAAGTTTTGGTAGGGGGTTGACTTTCGGAAAAGATTATTTCTTCAGAGTCTTCCCTCCTGCAGTGCAGAATAAGTTTAGAGTGAGCGTGCAGTTAATCCATGGTAGAACATGATGAAATCAGTCCTCAAACTATCTTAATTTCCTTCTTTGTAAGATCAGAAATTCAGATTGTTTTGTATTTCAGTGCTGGCAAAGCTTGTGTGACGTACATCCAATGTGGAAATTTACACCTGCAAGCCCTATGTAGTTTAAAATACTTACATAAATGACAACATCATTAGTTTTCAGTTCATGGATTTTTAACACTCCTGATGTGATACCTCTCTTCCTTTGGGTTATGTTTAAGCAATTTAATGACCTGTTGATTTGCACCAGGAGATACTGGCTTGTTATGGTTCCAATAAGGAAGCCACTTAGACTATAAAGTATTGCTTGAAATAACCATTTGTTGCAGCTAACACTGTAAAAGAAAAGGATCGTGTAGGTAGTTTTATTTCCTTCCTAATGCTGAATTGCGTAGTGTTGAACAGCTCTCAAATAGGAGCTCAGCACACTGTGCAGATCCTGTCCAGGGAAAGAGCATCTGACATTTTGGTCTYTTGAGCTCTTGCAGGATTTTCTTAAAACAATTCTATTTCTTATAAACAGAGAAAGAAATACAGAGAAGGCCAGTTCACTTAAGAACTGTTTGTTGTCGTTTAGATAAAGACAATGACYGGTTCGGAGTGAGAGCTACCTGTGGGCTCCCCTCCACAGCCGGCTGTGTATCCTGCAGCCACGGGAAACATGCTGCACAGCACGGGCCTGCCAGCCGAGCTCTGCATGCAGCACTGGCCTGTGCCTCCTGTGGCATCACTGATTCCTCAATGAAGGGATCTTCAGCTTAGGATTAATACACCTGTGAGGAAAATTCCCTTGGATAGAGAACTGTAAAGTGGTGCAGTTATACTTCTAGGTTTTGAGAGCATCAGTGTTTTCAGGGCAGATACACAGCCTGGGTGAGTGGGGAGGGATCCTAACTGGAACTTTTAAGTAAGTTCCATATATCATCATCATTAATAATAGTGATAATACATTATATATTATAACATGATGCTTGGAATAGATAAGTTTGCCTCTCCCTGTTAGTCTGTTGAACTCAGGAGTGATGGAGGGTGTTTTGAGCTTTTGCGTAGTTTTACATTACATAAATAAGTTAATTTTGTTGCTCTTTGTTTGGGGTGAAGGTGTGTGTTTTCTTCTTTCTTCCAGCTTAAAAGTAAACTTTTTTAAAGTAAGATTTTAATAAGAAGCATTTTTTAATAAATAACCTGCAAAACTCTSAGCTGAAAGTAGGAACTTCTATATTTCATAATGGCTTATTGGCAAATAGATGGCACATTTTTCATCTAGTAGAAAAGTAAAAATAAAAATTAAGGTGTGAAAAAGTTTACTCAACAAAGTATTCAACTTCTCCTTGATTTAGGGGGAAAAAGATCCCACCTCACAGCTCAGTTATCATCACTGTGATTCATCAGCTGCTGTCTCCTGGGCAGGTCTGACTGCTGATTGGGCACRGGACTTCTCAAGGTGTGTCTATTGCCAAGAAGCTTTTGCATTTTAAGAGCACACAGTAGACCATTCTAGCCTCCTGCTATGGTAAGAACTGTTGYATGTCTATTTATTAATCTGTGCAGTCTTATTGTTAGAAAATAATTAGGTGTGTTAGCAGATGTTTCCAAACCAAGTTTTGTGGGTTTAAAATATGGAAGGATCTTAATTGTGGCAGCTATTGCTCAAATCCAAGGAGAATTAGATTAAAATATTTTTATAATGTAGTAATACTCTGAGAGAGAAATGTTTTTAAGATATTACACGGTCTTTATTTTTCACAAAAAATGTATGTGTCAGCTATTTGCAAGTTAAGTATRCAAGGAAACTTTCTTCTCATATATTATGTTCAGGGCATTTTTTTTCAGAGATATGAATTGGCACTTTTTCTGTGAATTTATCAATCTAAATTATTTTGAAGATAAAATTAATCTGATTTTAACATATCTTTTCAGCTGACTTTAAAAAAATTGGGAGAATCCTGGGGTAAAATGCAGGAATATATTAGAAAGGTTTTTGGTTTGTAATTGATAGGTTTATGTCAGCTTTAGTAGCAAATAAAAAGATGCAATCATTGCTTCAAGAGAGAGAAACAGGGATTGAAAAGATTTGAAACGTGCTAGATAGACAGGTTTGCATGCAAATGTCTGTGATCTAATACTGTTGGAGTATGGCAGAAAAGGCTTAGGAAAACAGCAGCTCTAATACCCCGTTGGTGTAATGTCTGCTTTCCTACTTTACAGCAGCACTGCTCAGAGCTCATTTCACATGACTGTACTTGTTTCGGCTCTTGGAAAAATGTTACAGTCATGGCACAAGCACCAACTTCTTTGTGAGGGATGATACAGTGAGCCATCATAAAAGGAGGTTTCCATTATAATATTACAGTAGTAAAGATTAATTTTAGGATAATACATAACTGAAAACAAAGAACCTTTTAAGGATAAATTATTTAAATAGATATTTAAGAAGTGACTCTTGCACCAAAATGTCCAAACCACAAGGGTTTTCTAGATACTCAGACTGAAGTTTCTTGCTATTGAATTACATGCGTTGGGTCCTAGTACTTCTGCATATTTCTTGTGTTTAAAAGAGCAATTTTGAGCTTTAGAATAATAAAATTCTTTGTTTGTGTACGYCAGGAGTGTCTTCACAGTTAGTAATGTTACAGAGTGGAATTTTTTTTCTCAGAATTTTAACTCTGAGCACCAGTCAACACAAGAGGGTGCCGAAATGCAATACAAAATTTTCAATTTCGTAGTAAAATAGTGTTAYATACATAATATACCTTTTCTAAATGTTGTTTTGATCTCTCCCAGCCTTTTCTCGTTTGCATATTCACCTCTGTGATACTGTAATATCAGAATACCCTCTTTCTTGGTCTTTTTATGATGACACCAACACATTCTTCTCACCAGCAGCTGGCACCATCAAAGAAAGGTTTTTTGGTATGCAAATAAATTTAGCTACAACTGTAATTTATGTAATTTATGTGATTTATGTCATGTTCTTGTTTTGCTTGTGCTGGCTTTAATTCTACGTGCAGAAATCAGAGACTGGTTTCTATGTGCCATGCCATCAGCAAAGGAAGAAGATAGCAAGAACTATGTTCTTCAAAARAACATTTTGAAATGCATTAATCATTCATGGGCAAGACCCTCATGGTGCAATTAATTTAACCATTCCGTTATTTATGTGATTTTTTTCTGGGCTGAAGCTTTTAGTATCCATGTGCGTCCTACTCTTCAAGCTCATTTCCTCAATGTTTTGCAGCCAGTGTGCTGCAACACAAGAGGTACCAAAATGCAAGTACTATTGGCAGAGGCAGGTGCACTTTCTGAGTTTAGAAATTTGRCTTCAAGAAATGAGATGTTGTGCCTTTGTTGCTTGGATGACAAAATTATAAGATGCTCTGAATTACATATTTTGGGTGGGTTTTGCATTCAAAAGATAAAGCGTGCCATACTTTACAGTCCCTACTATCGAATCACCATAGTGCATTTCTAGAATAAGGTTTAGTTCATCAATCAGCTAGAGACTGATATGTATCTGGCTAAAGTATACTCTCAGACAGTATTTGTCAGAGTGCAGTCCAGGAAATTAATTCAGCAGTTTACAGTCATTGTAATGGTGGACCAGATTAGTGAATGTCGGCTGTGTGCATTCAGTCAAGTGTTCATATAACAGCAAATACTTCTTGTGTCTTCCTCTCTGGTAACACTCGGTAATAAACTAAGTTCAAACAGTAAACTGCTAAGTCTAAACTTCTTGAAAGGAGCCATTAATTTCAAGTTCATAACTTTTTATATGTGTCCCAGCAGTTGCTTGCAATCACAAGTGCCAGTGTTTGGTCAYTCACGTTTCTGATTTGTTGCACTGAAATGACACAGTCACATTATTGGTTCCTGCAGTAAATGACACTTCCAAATTGTGCAAGGATTGCGTAATCCTTGGCAGTGGATTATATTATTTGAATTATAATTAGATGCCTGGCTAAATACTCTTTTTGTCAAATAAAAGGGTTTCTGAAAAAAAAGGAAAATAATCTACTCACTGTTGGAGTCTTTTTTGTGTATTTTTAATGAAAGGCCTGTCACTTTATTTGATGGAGTAGTGTCTTCAGATTAGTGCTGCTTTCTTAACTGTGTCTAATCTCATTTGATTCAAGCATCATGGAATAATAAAAAAATCAATGTRGCATAGGTTTGTTTTGAAGTCAGTGAGGGGGTTAGCAAATCAGTAAACATCAGTTCATCATGTTTAATTAGCTAACAGGAATTTTCTCAAACTGTTAAACAGGATCTTAACAAGCAAATTGGATGTAGGCTTATTAATTTATTGTGAAGTTCTGGTGGGGAAACTGAAAACTTTAAAACTAACTCTGTTTTCCAAAACAGTTTGTCCATATAGTTTTAGTAGCTCCTTAAAGAATGTGAAGCTTTTCTTTTAGTCCCCTTCCACCAAGCTATGATATTGAAAAGATGAATATTTGTCTCCATCTTTGGATCATTTGCAAGAAGTAAAAGAGCATAAACAACTCAGAAATTCCTCTATGTATCAATATATCAAATGCAAATACATGAATGGTACAGTGTTAGAGCAGTGACCTTCAGCCAGACTCTTAAGTCAAGAATTTCTGTTTCCAAGGCTTCTCATTCTTGCTGGTTATTTTCCTGGCATAATGTATGGATCTTTTGTGGTGTGTTGTTTGCTGGAGAATGAATGGAGGCCCTCTGGCTCATTTATCCTACTGTCTCACTTGGGATTTGAACTATGTTGCTAGAAAAGAATGTCTAGTGCTCTCACTTTCAATTCTAATCCCCCATCATTAAGCTTGCTAGAGTGGTTCCCTGTTGTATAACTATTTTGTTCAGCTATGGAGCGTAGTGATGGTTTTAAGAGTAGCTAAGATTTACAGGATATTGTATGCTTGTGCTTTTGGAATTCTCCATTGTAAACATTTTGTRTCTTAGATGAGAAAAAATACTTCTATTTTGGGTCATTTTATTTCACTTCCTTCCTACACTTTCTTTGTTTTCAGTTTGCTTTGTCTCTTTTTGTATTGTCCTTGTCTCAAACAGTTGAAATTAGRGCTAGCTGACATCTTGTCATAACACTGACATTAAAGCTATAGTAGTCTGAAAAGCACTATGGATTGTTTTGGTTGGATTTATTGGGGATGGGGACTTCATTGGTTAGTTTTGTTTTTATTTGAAAAACACTCACTTTGTAAGCAGACAGATACCATTTAAGAAGAAAAATACTATTATTAAATATATCTGTCTTGATTTTCAAGTCAAGGAAATCATTGCTTACTATAAGGTAATTTGGAATTTTTTTTCCTTATAATTCCCCAATATTTGTGTTTTCTTCTTACCCTGCATCACAACTACTGAGAATATTAACAACTTTTTTTTTTTAGATTTCACACCTCTTCTGTTAATTTTCTCTTAAGACTTGACAAAATGAAGCTTTTTTAAAAAAATGCCATGAGGACTGCATCACTTTACAGGAATTCAGTCAGAAGACAACATACCAACTGATACAATTMAAGTATGGAATTTTTTTTATTAACAGAGAGAAAAAATGTTTAAAAAATAGAAACCTATTCTCTAGGCAAGTCTTGATCTACTTCTAGAGCTATTARCATGTTTAGAGACTCACTAGTGAAACTGCACTATTAATCAAGTACCAGTGGGGGGAAAACAAACAAGGAAAATTCTAGTAATTCTGTGTCAGCTTTTTCTCTRATCATGTTTTAGTGCAGGTTTTCAGCTATTTGTTTTAGTCTGCGCTAGATTCCTGCACTCTATTCTCTTTATTCTCCCTACTAACTTCAGTTTAAAATTTTCTTCATATCTTTTCATCTGGCTGGTTGTAGCTTTTCTGCTTTTCTTCCACTTAACTGCATCTCACATTTATCTGTCTGCACCTTTCTTATTAATAAGTTTATTTCCTACTTTTTGAAAATACTATTAGAAGGATTCTCTAGAAGTGGAGTCTATGAAATAGTAAGAAGGAAAATGAAAAGTTAAAGGACAAGATAGCTTGAGGAGGAGGATTAAATAGAGCTGTTTTGTTGTACCAAGAGACAGAACTATTTCAAAAAAACTGCAATAAAATTTTAAAATATCAGGTATCACCCTTGATAGKTGTTCCACTGTCTTTCTGTGTACAAATTCTGTAGACACATTCCCAGCCATGTCAYTACAGCTGAGAGCAGAAAATTTCTTTATGATGTTAAGTACCTTGTGGAAATATTCCTTTATATTGTAGTTTAAAGTACTTGGAAGACTGTAATATAGTTCTCTCAACTATRCACTTTAATACAATGACTAGTATGTTACAGATTGATGCACTTACATCAAATTTCTAGATTTATCAGTTAATGTTAGTGTGACTTTTAAAATTAACACGGGTACTTTTGCTAATAAACTTCAGGTTTTACAGCTGCAGTGCATTGGGATTTTAACCCAAACTAAGATACACTTGTGTCACTGAACAGGTGTTCAGATGTTGCTGCAAATTAGCAGCTTGGCTGAAGCAAT